AGGATTCTGGTCTCTACGACTTCCTCTTAAATTCCAATCAGAAATATTACGAAAGTCCTTGATTCCTTCATTAGAAATCTTTTTATTTTGGATAGGAACTTAGTTCATATGCGAAAATCTTTCGAAAATTGATTAAAAAATATTTCCAAAGCCTTGGATTCTTTGACTAAAGCTTCTCATAGATTTCATATAGGATTCTGGTGTATATGATTTTCTTTTCATATTATCTTAGAAGTAACAATATAAAAGTCCGGATTTCCTGGATTTTAATATCTATAGGAATCATTTTCATATTTCGCCAAAAAAATAATTCAAAAGTCTTTGATTCCTGGATTATCCAATTAAAATAATATTTTGATATATATGAATTCTTTTTAAAATTCAAGCATAGAGGACAGAAATCCAGATATATTAGATTCATAGATTTCCAGCTTTGGGTAATTATATGAACTCCTTTCAAATCTGATTTAGGATTCTGCTCTTTACGAATTCACTTGAAATTCCAATTAGAAGTATTTGTACTAAAAATCTCATATTTTGGATAGCATTAGTTCATATGAAATTCTTTAAAAAATGATGAAAAGCAAATCCAGAACCCTAGATTCTTTGATTCGGGTTTTCCATAGATTTTTCCTAGGATGCTGGAGTATATGAGTTTCTTTTTAAAATTATCCTAGAAATACTACAAAACTCAAGTTTTCATAGGTTTATATCTGTATGACCTGCTTTCATATTGAATTTAATTCATATGCATTCCTTCTAAAATTTAAGAAGAAGCAATTCCAGAATCCTTAATTTAGGTTTTCCATAAGCTGTCCGCAAATTCTGAGTGACTATACAAATACGGACTGTCTTAGAATCTATATATATATATATTCTATTTCTAAAATAACCATGTTCTAAAATTTCCACGCCAAAATAGGTAGCCACGGAGTGATTCTTAAAAAAAAATCTATGAGTTCAAAATCATCTCTTTCTCAAACCCCTCCCTCCATTACTCTATATTAAAACGATTTCATGCAGAAAATATTTTATTTTCTATATTCATTTTTTCTAATTATCTAATCAGACGTTATCCAATATTACCTTCATAAAAAAAATGACCTCTTTCTTCGTGAAAATCCAAAACTCCTTTCGCGCCCGCCATCGCGAGCTTTCGCGGAAACTTTTTTCTATTTCTTTTACGACATCCAAAATTCTTTTCGCGAGCACCATCGCGCTCTTTCGCGTTTTCACTAAAAAGGCCCTGGCATTTTTCGAGCGATGCATGCGATGCCCCATCATAATTTCTTTATGATTTAGATTTTTAACCAAAAGATATTCTATCTATTTCTCTGTCATTTTCCAGGTCGAGAAATTATTGATTTTTTGCCGATTATTTATCTTTTCCGCGGTTGTCGAAGGATCCTCGCGCGATACTTTTCTAGGACCCTGGCGCGATACTCTTATATGATATTAAGGCCTCCTTGATTATCTGTCTTTTCTTCACGATTGAGTCTTGTAGGTCATTCCTCAAGTAGCATCTCGAGTTGGTTCTGCCAAGAAGCCTGTGTTTGTGCCAGCCTGACAGCGAGATATTGGCTCAATGTCTTTTTGACATATGCACAGCTAGTATATGCATGGTGCTCAAAACGACGTGATGAGATGTGGAGGATTCATGCCCACATCATGTGGTAAGATCTGGACGATATCTCGGCAGAGAAGCGGAGTGGCCTTAATCTTCATTTCTGGCATTAGCATGCCCGCGACATGAAAAACATTCCCTGCAGAAATCAGCAGTGAAGCGGACTCTTCTCCAAAGCAGAATGTGCGACGGAAACAAGCTGTGAGATCCCAATGATTTGCTTTCCATGCTATGTCATGCTGCTTGTCAGTCTGAACGCGCATGGGTTGACGTGGAACTGTTCTCAGGAGAGAACCCTGAATACTGCAAGATAAGACACGTTTCATCCTGACTGGGAAGTCAATGCCAGCCGGCAGTGGCTTAGAACCGGGCGGGGTTTCGTCTGCGGCAAGCACTGCTCGAGCTGCGGCGGGAAATTCAGGGCCCTCCTCCCGACTCAATCAGATCCTACCAGTATTTCTTTGCGTGCAGAGATGCCAAAGGAAAGCAGTCCTGATATTGGCTCCATGCATTGCGGCCCAAAGCAGTGACCACCGAGTGCTCGAACTTGCAAGGTGAAGCCGTGGCAAAAACAACACTAGCTTGAGGCTTCTCTGCGACAGACTCCCCTGTTCGAGTGGAAAAATGCGCTGCCAAGGCAACAGCTGAATGCGGGCAAAGCAGGTAGCCATACTCTTCAGCAGACTTGCGGATGCAGGCACACATTGCGTCATCGTCAACTCGGGCAGAACTAAAAATCTCCTGCAGCTTTCGCAACCAGTCTTCAGGCAGGGTCAGGCGGCCAGTAGCATCCATCTGTGTCATCCAGGTCTTCACCAACCTGGAATCCTCCCCAGTCAAATAGAAGAGGATTCGCTCCATGTTGTAAGGAACTTGGATGTTGATCGCATCAGACAAGGTCTTTGCCATGTGCTCACTGCGATGGAACTCGCCCTTGCTGATAGTTCGGTGGGTTATGTCATTTGCATTCACGCCAGCTACAAGCCGGCGAATGGGGAGGCCCATCTCCCGAGCCATCAGAGCAGCTGCCGTGTTACCCAAAGCCCCACAAGGCAAGCAGAAGTCCAGGAGACTGTCAACGTCAGCCCGCAGCTGATCTACTGCCCGGAAATATGCCCAAAAGAAATGGCAAAGCTGTGCTAGCGGCCGGCCCAAGTTGTAGGAGTTGATACCGCACAGCCCGTGCTTTTCCACAAACTTTGCGTCTGAGCTTAATCTCTTAATGGGTAAGTCCATGTCATCTCCTCCACCATCAAATGTGACAACACGCGCACCAGCACCAGAGACTGTAGTCATCTGCCGTCTTTGCAGCTCAGAGATCTGCCCATCAGGATAGAAAACAATTATCTGTAAATTTGTGCAGGCGGCATCTGACACTGCCCTCATAGCAGCCGGGCCTGTATCCCCTGTCGTAGACACGAGGAACGTGCGCCTTTGATTCCGCCGCCTTGCAAAATGTGCCAGCAGTCGGACTAAGACTTGCTGACCCAGGTCCTTGAAGCAGAAAGTGGGCCCATGGAAGAGCTCAGCGATGAAAACTGGTTCAGCATCCCTTGATTTGTCAGCAGCGTCATCCGTCGCAACTGTGTGACGCAACGGCACTATTGGCACAATGTCTGGATGTGAGAAGCTTGAGTAGCTCCCTCTCACGATATCTTCGAGCTCTGCCTCGCTCAGCTCATCCCCAGCAAACAGCTTCATGAGCTCAAGGGCTAATGAAGGGAAGTCCAGCTTACGCCATGACCTCAATGTTTCTGGAGGAATTTTTGGAAGCTCTTCGGGAACATACAGCCCTCCATCCGACGCATATCCACGTGACAGTGCCTGTTCAAAGGTTGCACCTGTCTCACCACGGGTACTGCGATATCGCATCTCTCTCTCTACGGCAGGCCTAAAAAGTTGACCAACTTCATCATGATAGCCGAGTTCTGTATCATAGGTCGGCCTCGGGGCCCCTGATTGCCATGCAAGAAATCTGGTGAACTTGGTGAACTGTGGATGCAGGCCACGGCATGAGCCAAAAGCATGCCAAAAGCCCCAAACTCAGCGGACCTCTTCACGCAAATTGTGTAAAAGCTTGGCGTGGCTCGTGCTGCAAACTCTTGCAACACCACAAGCAATGGCCAACGGAGCCCTCCTGTTTTCACTCCTTTTCTCTTCCGTTAGAGTCTAGAAGAAGCCACTTCCGGTTGCCGGAGGCTTGGCTCTGGACTCGCTGATTACCGGCGCTGGGCTGGATGGGCTGGGAGGGCTTGAAGCAACTGAAGCAACTGCGTTGGCAATCGGTGGAAGCATGCCTGCGGATGTCTTTGCTACCGGCAGCCCATGAGGTGGAGAAAGCCTAGCACGGACACAACCGTTGAGAGTGTGGCTACAAGGTTTGCAATATTTCCGCAAGATTCACGAATCCAGCTGCATTTCAACTAATCTGTACATACATGCCGAGGCACGGCAGGTCTTGACCAATCAGTTCTACGCCGTGGGCAACTACAGCATAATGTTGGCCAGCCTTCATCAAACAGCTGACATCAAGTCGTCTCGATGCAAGCTGGTTCCGCTGCTTCTACAGTGAGAAAGCTGACACGGTGCCTCCACATACACGTAAAAGAGTCGTCCGCAACAAGGGCAAGCAAATGTCGAACGGCCACCAGTATCTTTGAAGGAAAGCGGACAGGCACAATACCATAATGCAGAATTTCCGTGTGATCTCATGTATACACTGAGGCATACTGAGGCCATCCGAGGCCCCAACCTGATTGCTCGCTGCTTGGTAGGGCCGGCTGCCTGGCTATCAAGGACCTCGGCGTCATCCAAAAGGTCAGGCTGACGGCTGATCGTGAAATCACCGAGTGAGGCGCTCGTGGTCATACACTCGCTCCTGCAACTTCGCGCCGATAATTTGACAAACTAATTATTCTATACTCTGCCTGTTGTCTACGCGCTGCTTCCCTCGCGAGGCGTTCTCTTCGCTGGTCTTCTGCCTCACACAAGATTCAAGACTCACCTCCCATGCGTGGTGGACAGCTCAAGTGCTTTCCAGACAGCGTGCAGTATATGCAATGCACTTGGAAGCGACGTGTACCAGAAGCTTTGTCACAAAAGCAACTCAAACATCTGTGATCCGCTGCAAGCAGTGGCAGCTCCTGTGCAGCCAGGTCCTCGGGCAGCGTTGCCCGAGCCATCTGTCGATAGAAGTCCTCGTGCGTCGCTTCCAGTGCAGCCAGGGCCTGTTAGAGTCCAGAGGTGCTCCACTCAGCTGCCACTGTCAGGTTGGACGCCTCTTTGCCATCTCTGATTGCCTTTAGGCGCCTCTTCTCCTCAGCAGATGACTGCCGCGCCCTCCTTCTTTCCAGTTCGTGCAGCGCTACTAATCTAACTGAAAGCCGCCAGCTGCGAAATCCAAGCGCGCACCAAGCGTCCGCATTTGCCCTTCGTTTCTTCTCTGCTTCAGAAAGCTCCTGAGCAATGATGTTGGCACAAGCAAATATGTGCGAAACCAGCAAGGTACCTGCATGGCTTCAATAATCACCTTGTATCGCTCCACAGCTTCTTCCTCTTCTGTCAGCACCTTGAGACACTTCAGCACAAAGCTGAGCTGAGTCTAATTTACACACATGCGGACCGAACAGCCCCAACATGCAGCCGCCGGGCTGAGGATTCTGTAGGAACCTTTTCGTCATCCTCAAGCTGTTCGCGCGCAAGGATTCTTGAAGCTGCTGTGTTGTTTTCCAAAGGTGGACAGAGCTCTTGCTAGAGCAAGGGGTTTCTTAATGAATTTCACATTCGCTGCGGGCTTCGCAGCATGAGTTTGCAGCCGAGTCTCTTCATGATATCTACTCAAAGGAGCAATCTGGATGTCGAGAACCTGCAGTCTGTCTAAGCTGCTTGGGATGGACACTCTCCGCCGAAGCCGAGAGCTTCGCAGCAACTTTCGAATTCATCATGTCCTCTTTGAAGCCCGCCAAACCATCTTTGCCGTTGACCTGTTGAGACTTGGGCTTGAGCACAGAAGAAAGCAAGAAATGGCAGATGACCCCACAGGCCTTTACAATGGAATCGCCAGGGCGAATTCTTTCTTTTGGATGCTGCTCATTCCACCTTGCCCGCATTTGCTGCCCACGTGGCTTTCTGTTATGCAGTCCCCTTTTCTGTCCCCTGGCATTGCTTTCTGCTCTCTGTTACGTTCATCACTGATGGTCTAGCAGACTCCAGTACGTTACGTAAGGCTGGCGCTTGCAGGCGAGCCCGCCAGCCGCCAAATTCTGAACCCTCGGTCAATTTGAGGCAGCAGCCAAAATCAGAGAAAAAGTAGCCCCATGTAGCCCCTGAATCCTTTAGCCTTTAGCAGCCTTAGCAGGATGCGACAACACTTTCCCAGTCTCAGAGGATGGCTCGAGCGAAGGCTGTTCAACTTGCATGCCTTCATGCAACATGTCAATACGTTCTGGCAATGGCAGTCCAACAGGCACGGAAGAGAATCGCACCCAGTTTGCCACCCTCTGAGCGGTCCAATCCTGAGTGCCAAATGCAATCTTGCGCGGCAAACGTTGCTAAGCTCCCAAGAAGCACCACGGAAATCTCACATGATTTTGCTCTTCGGAGCTGAGTGCCCAGCTGACGTAGTAGAACTTCGGAGGCTGGCAGGGGCAATGTTGCAAAAGGTGCTCCACTCATATCGGCTGCAATCACAGCTGTTGTCAGGACAGCGAAGATCCCTGCTGCAGTCTGCCTTGTGAACACGTGATCCTGGAACTGCCTCAATGTCCAGCACCTGCAACGGTTTTTCTCCATTGACCTACTCTATAATTCAAGCTAGGGGCGTTATAGGAAAGGGCCTTCACGGCGCTGTTCATCAACTCCTGGGTGTATCCCGCCATGCCAGGCTTTGTGTTCACCTGACAATCAAGGACTCTTCCAAGCGCTTTCACGTATGGCCGGTTCATTCGCCTTCTTGATCTTATAGCCAACTTGCAGGGCACTGCGTGGATTTGCAAAGTTCCACCTAAATCCGTACATGAATCGGGAGCCCCAACCACTGTGTCTTGACCATCGCTCAACTGTAGCCCCTTGGCTCCTGGCTTTGCAACCAATGAATCGGGGTTGATGCCTCGCACCCTGACACAAATGGCGCGGTCTTCAGCCGTCGCCATGCATGCAAGCTCTGAGCGTGTGGCTCCAAGGTTTTCGTGTCAAGTGCCAAACCTTGACTTGAGTGTCGATATCCAATGGCACACTCGACAAGCCAGCAACCTGCTTGACTCATGACACGGCGCATCTGACCTGAGCTCAAAGTTCCCAACCCAGCTTCTCGCCATCCGATCTGTCCAGACCTGAGCAACATCTTGACAATGACTATGGTTGAGACGTTCACTTTGATAACCCATAAGCTCTGGACGGATCTGCAGAACTCGAGAGGCCTGCCGCGTCTTTAGTCCAAGGTTGCTGTCGCTCTACAGTCTTGTGACAGCTTGCGGACAAGGATTGTACCTGTTGAGCCCGGAGACTTGCCAGAGACTGAACATGCAAGGCCCCGTGGGCTTGCAGTCCGTGCTTGAGAAGAATTACAGAAGGGGCTTCTCAAATTCAATTTTGAAGGGGGGCTTGAGAAGGGGCTTTGAAGCCCCTTTGAGAATTCTTTAAATATGAACCCTTCAAAGCCCCCTTTGAGAAGCCCCTTCTCAAGGCCCCCTTGAAGTCTCTTCTCAAGGTTGCCTTGAAGCCCCCTTCAAAGGGCTTGGGAGACCCCTTAAAGCCCCCTTTGAGAATTCAGACTCCCCCTTCTCAAGCCCCCCTTGAAGCCCCTCTCCTGCTGCACAAGAGTCAGGACAGCAGAGGCCATCTCATTGCAGCAGAAACCGAGAGAGAAACCAACCAGCCTCTTTTGCCGCTTCCTCCTCCAGCCAGCTCGTGACCGTCTCTACTGGGGCATTATGATGATGACATCAACATGCTTCCTTCACTTTCAACTGTAACGTTGCATATGCCCAGTTGAACTCGTCCATGCCCATTTTTCCAGTGAAGTCTTTGTCAAACTCATCAAATATCTCCTTCATGGATAGCTTGGTCATCGCACTGGGGCGAGAAAACCAACATTCGTACATGGTTGACTGTGAAAGCGTATCCTCCAGCACATCGAAGCTGGGAGCTGCGTGGCCCTGCATTTGCGCGATTTGGCGAGCCAATCCTTTGAATTCTACCTGCAGCCATTGTGGGGCAGTCGCAGTCTTTCCCCGCATGTTGTGTACAGAATCACTGGTCGGGATCTCTCACGTAGACTCCGCGAGTACCATGCCTGCAGAAAAAGAAGCGGCTTGCATCTAGCAGGGCCAAGCAGCCAAGCTCAGCGTCTGGTCTCCGTCCAGGTCAAACTTTTCCCGCAAGGCCACCATCTGTGCGTGCGTCAAGCCCTTGGCGAGAGCAAGAGCTGCTTTGTCCAAGGCCGACATCTATCGAAGCTCAGCGGAGGCTCGGCAGTTCCGCTGCTGGATGCCGTGGTCTGCGCCTTGGCCTTCACAGCAGCCACGCCTCGGCTTCGACACCCCTCCATCAACGTAAACGCAAAGACACTGCGGCAGCCTTTCGGCGGCGGTGGTTTTCCAGCCTGTCCGCAGGATAGATCCAATCTGCCACCCTCACTCCATCAAGTGTGAGATGTCTACCTCGTGAAGGCTGCCCGTTTTCTGGTGCGGAGCTAAAGTCTCATAGCGCCTAAGACTGGTTCGAAAGAAGCACCTTGAGCTTCTTGATACCGTCCACTTCGGCTCTTGCTTGATTGCCACGAAATCTTGCCTCCGCAGGCAGCGCTCACCATGAAGTACATGAAGTACTGTACAACTGCTGCTTTATGTTGCTTCATGCCACGAAGAGAGTATCGCATGAGAACGCACACACGAATGTCGTCAAGCCCTTCCTGTTGTTGCTGTTTCCTGTCCTCGAGTCTCCAATAGAGCGAGTCGACAGTTCCACATGCATGCATGCATGTGGTCAGCGTCAACGAAACGGCCGACCTGGATCTTCAATGCTGCCGCCGCCTGACAGTGGGCTTGCAAGCTGCATCTTGAAGAATTTCGGGAAGTGAGGGTTCCATCATAAAACCCAAGCAATGTTACGTTCCTCCCGTTCCGCACTATGCTGCTAGGAAGCTATTCACACTTAAATTCTCCAATGCGCATGTGGAAGCGACAACTCCCAATGCACCCGTGGACATGTTGATAGGTCAACATGGCCAAGGTCAAGGCCAAAGCATGCCACGCCTCTACCTCCTGCTGCAGCGTGGCATACGCCCAGTTGAACTCTTCCATGCTCATCTTGCCGCTTTTGTCCTCACAGGTCATGCGAAGGCCTCAAGTGCATCCATCTCTTGACCTTCCGTTGCAGCTACGCAGTGGCCATCCTTGTCAAACTCCTGGAAGACTTCCTCACAGGCAAACCACAGAAAATCACGAGAGCCCTCACGGCTAGGTTTTGGTCCGGATCCTTCAGGCTGACATCTGCTGGCAATTTGTGCCCCTTTATCGCTGCAATTTCACGTGCCTGGGACTCACTGACTCACTCGCTCAGAATATCTCAGAATTTTGCCGAAAGGAAGCACGGCTGCCGGTTGCTTTGATTGAGGTCTCCACCATCCCATCGAACTCTTCCTCAGCGGTCTGAAAGGAAGTCCAACTAAAGCTCATCACCGCAGGGAGAGCAATGCCAGTGGTGACAAGGCGCGACTGTCAACATCTTGTCCTGGGGATTTGATGTGAAAGTCAAGCTGCATGAAAGTCTGAGAAGGACAGCGCAGCAGCACAATCAAGGAAAAAGAGGCAAGTGCTAAGTTGGTCCAGGACTCGTTGTTGGTGTCATGTTTCTGTCTGAGTTGGCTTAACTGCTCCTCTGACAAAGCCTGAGCTTCAAATTCGAGAAACTCTCACGTGAAACATCGTGCAACTATCTGCTAGGTAAGGGGAGGCCAAGCGCATCCGATTCTCATTCGTCCCAGCAGTTTCAGCCTTGGCTTTAGCTCCTGAATTCCAGGCGTTAGCATCCCCAGCAAAAAAGCATTTCGTGAAAGAGAGGTCCTGCTTTTTTAGGTGGAGGTGGTGCTTTTGGCCGGACTTTTGTGCCTCCCGCCTCGCAAATGGCGTGCCAGAAAAAGGATTGATGCATGCCAGCTGAACAACTTCGAAGGTGATGCTGCAGTGGCCTGAGTGTTGGTCACTGCTGGATGGCATGAGATGACAGGAAATCCCGAAACAATTTGAATCGCGCTGCTCGCTCTTCACACCACCCAGGGTGACACTTTCTGGCCTGAACTTGAGCTCTTGCCTGATTTCCTCGCACTCTAGCCTCGCAGGATCTCGCAAGTGCAGCGATGGAGCTGCACAAAGCGACAAAAAAATGGGAGCATTGTCAAAAAGCTACAAGCAGCTCAAGCTGCCTGGATCTTGGTCGCTGCCGCTTCCTCATACACAGCAGCTACCCGACTTGCATTTGTCGGAGCACTTTGCGTGCGAAGGGAGTGTGGCCTGGATCTTTTTCTGTACGGTTGCATAGGCCCAGTTGAATTCTTGCATGCCTCAATGAGTTCGCTTCCCGTGTCAGGACCGAGCCCGGTAAGTAAGCAAAGCACAGGCCAAAGCCATGCCAAGAGGCTTAGCTTGTCACTATCATCCTTGTCAAACTCTTCGAAGATATCCTTGCAACGTTTATAGTTTCTGAGAAGTCAGTGCACTCCTGTTAACAGTCTTTTGGCGGTTTCTTGGATTGGACGAGGGGCCTCCAGATCCTGCTCGCGAGGCGCTGGCGCATTGAGCAGTGTAGCAAGCTCCTTGCAGAGCCCCGAGAACTCGGCCTCAAATCGCTCGAGGAAGGTCCACTGAAGAGACGCAGACCAAAGCTGCAACTCAACCTGCCAATCCCTGTTGGACCTTGCCTCAGAAACCTTTGCCGCCAAGGCTCATATGTCAGCGAAGCGTCTTTGTCAGTGTCATATTTCCTGATCAAAGTCAGTCCAAGCGCAACGCCGCTTTGTTGCTGAGATAACATGGTCACGGCCTGAACATGCATGTGCGACTATTCTGTTCCAAAAACTGCAGACATCACAGGCAAGGCTGTGTCAGCAAAGAATCTTCTTCAACATCTCGAGTTGCTGCGGCGTCAGAGCCTTTCCGCTTCTTGACGATCACTCAAGCTATGAACTTGTGTGCGTAGGGGATACGTGGCGCATTTGTTCAAGCAATGTAGGTGCCATCTGCGCCACTGGTCTTGACTGATTCTAACTTTATCAATTCGGATGCAAATGAAGGACAGGAGCATGCTGGCGGCTTGGCTGCAAGAATGCTAGTCACTTGTCCTTTCATGCAGCTTGTGCTCTGCTGCGTGTGGAAGCATTGTGTATGCTCAAGCAGATCCTCTTAAAACTTCCCACTAGCATGCCTGCTGTTTAGACAGGGCGCTGCGACCCCAGAATTTGCTGCATCTGCCTGCGCCTTGACCTTTGCATCACCTCAGATCCAGTGGCCGGGAAGCTCTGTTAGCCAGCTGCTCGCTAGCCGCTAGCCATCATCTCTGAGCTCAGCTTTGTGCACGCTTCTACGGGGTTTTGTGGGCTTTCTGCAGCTCAGCGTCTTGCGGCATTTGCCCGGGCCTTGGTCCAAAGTGAGCTCCCACACAGGACTAGCTGCGAAGCTCCTTTGAAAGACTGCCAGTGGGCCCGGAGATCAAGGCCGAAGCTAAATCATGTGACATGCAGACTTTCTGCGAGAGAGCAGCATCAGACTTTGGCTTTCCAGTTGGAGGCGGCGGGGGTGCCTAGGCACAGGCCCTGCTTTTCACTCTCGCAGTGCCATCTCCTTGAGGGACGGGGGTGGGTCCATGCAGGGTTGGAGGTCCTGCAAAACCTTAGAGAGTCACAAGTCAGGATTAGGGAGTATTGGGATCGCTGCTTGAGCAATCAGTCTCAGAGTCTCAGACTGGCTTCTTGGGCGGCATCCTGACAGCAGAGGCTTGCTGGCTTCGCGCCTCCTCAGCTACGCGCAGCTGACATAAAAACAGAAAAAGACTGGCAACTTGCTTCATACCTTCCTGGCTGAGCGTATGGCCTACATTCGAGGTAGACCGCCCGTGCATCAGAGACATCCTACCTTAGGGCATCTCGGTGGAAGATTCGAGCCCAGCGTCACCATGACACACAATGCAAAGTGCCGGACGCGAGACCAAAGCCGCAAGCAGAGGCCATGGGCAAGGAGCCTCAGCCATGCCATTGCCACCTGGCACACTGCGCGGCACTGACGAAAAGAGAAGCACAGTTGCTCATCACATGCCTCGCAGTCACGGCTCAGCCTGGACTGCCAAAGACATGGATTGCTGAGCTTCGACCACTGGCTGCAGCGACAGCTAGCGTGGATTTCTTTAAAGGCGCTGAAATCACAATTCTGCTCTGAATGTGCATGGACACCTGTGTCCAGAGGAAGTTTATGCACCCATGAACTCAAGCGGAATTCATCCGTGGTCCTTTTTGTCAGCCTCACCGTCTTGCTGTCTACACAAGTACCAGGCACCTGACTTTGCCAGACCCTGGCTTCAGAGCCATGTGCCCGCTGCGGCGCGCACGCAAGCTCACAAGTAGTCCCGGCAAAACAGTCACTCAGACTGTTATAACAGTCTTATGACTGTTTTTGCTTGAGAGGCTGCAGGACTAATCACCAAATACGCAAGAAAAGGCAACAGGTGTGAAACGAGGCTATCAGGTGCTCACATGCATGGGCTGCGACCTCAGACCGCAGAAGTCTTCAAAAAGCATATCCAGGCAGCCTGCAGTTGTGGGATGCTGAGCCGCGACTGCGAGCGGGTCAGCGCGGAGACCTTGCAAAGACCCGAGACGGCTCGAGACTGCTCGCTATGCTAGCTGTAATACCCGGACTCGACATGACTCGACAACTGGCTGGGTGCTGAGCATAGTTGCGGTTCCGCGCCGGACTTGCTTCGTTGGACCGTGCCATCCATGCATTCGTGTTCTCCTGTCAATGCATGAGTTCTGCCATTCAGTCCTGTTATTATGCGGTGGAGCGCTTCCTTGCCCCTATACACACTACATCGCGTCAGAAACACGACACAAGAGCTGCGGTGGGCCTTGAAAGCATGCTTTGGGCTGTCGCGCGGGAGAAGCTCTGGCCTGAAGGTGGCTGAATGTAGAGCGAGGCCGACCCGTGGAGGCACCATTCGAAGCATACGACAAACATCGCTAACTCTGAAAATCATGATCCGGGCTAGGTCCTGCTAGCAGCGTTTCTTCCGCGAGTGGGGGCTCATACGTTCCATCGGCAACATCTTCGCAGCGTTCGCGGACCCCATATGATGGCGTGCCAGATTATCCGGTCCTATGATGATGGCCTCATGTGCCTGTAATAAACCTGCCCAAGATTCAAAAAACAGGCGCATCCCGAAGCCTCGAGCGACAAGCAAGTTGCGCAGTCTGGGAGCAAAGAACATACAATGCGGATGAAGCGACGTAGTCAAGAGTGGAGAGTCTTCGACATGAAGATGAGAGACTTGCATCCAATGAACCCTTTGAACAAACAATTCGAGCTCAGGGACTGTAAAGGCATTTTAGGCCTTTACGTTTCAGAAACAATCAGGCCACAAATAACTTGCCAGTCCAAAGCCCGGAGTCCAGAAGGGCGTTTGGGCTCAACCCTTACAGTAAGTATCAAACCACAAACTCAATCCAGAAGCCCAAACGGAGTTGTACATCGAGCGTGCAATTAAGCGCGAACCCCACGTCATGAAAGAGTCCATCATGGCCATACGCAGGAAGATTGATGCCGCAGCAATTGTCACAACTGTGGCTGCCTCAGCAGCACCAGACTCAGCAGAAGAACCAGAACCAGAGCTCCCCAACATCATCGCGAAGCACTCCAAGAGCAGAGCTCGCCCCAGAATGTATTAGATGGTCTGGATTGTCATGAAAATTTCCTGCATCTCATGGTAATCTCATTATACTATATTCTGATAATAATCGGAACCGGAATTATGATTTTGGAGACCAATTGGGATAGGATCCAATTTTCAGCTGTAGCACGGAGCATCTGATTGTAATATAGCAGGAGCAGCGGAACAGCCAGAGCACATAACTAATAACGCCTGTTTGGACTTTGCAGACCTGAGGATCACCCCTGATACATCGCTCATGTCGCTCACACCATTCCCATTACGTCGCACGAGTCGGGACGTGCACCCGGCACGTCCCATTCCTGTGAACTTGTCCTTTTGGCAATAGAGCGGATCCTTTCTTCAAGCACTCTGGAGCCAAGGAGACACCCTGAGGTTCTTGCAGCTTCCCAGGCTTCCGCATCGAGTTCCTTGGGGCTGGCCGCGTTTGAGCAGAAAGGCCACCAAGCAGCATTGCCCATGTCGCGAGATCCGGACCAGTGTGTTTGATTGCGGAGTCCTAGTAGCACTGGATCCTGAAGTTTTCCCACACCTGCAAAGACTTGCAATACCTATGTCTGTGAAGCTTCCTGTGGAGACCCGATTGTTAAGCTGAGCCGCTGCTTTCTGTTCCTAGCGAAGGGCTGAAATTGCATGGCACCTCACAGGGTCGGCTGTTTGTATCCTTTAGCTTGCTGTGAGCTCAGCAATGCGCACTCGCTGAACAGTATCTGGCCTCCTTGGGTTGTGGAGGGACCGCATCCCTGAGACTACGCAGGGCTAGCCACAGAGTTGAAGACTTATACGCCACATTCAGGACAAGGTCTGCTTGAGCGGTGGGCTCTGCAACGTGCTGGCCCTTCAGTCTTGCTGCTTCTTTCATCCTCAGGAGCAATGTCAGCATGGTTCGGTGCGAGCCCACAAAAGTCGTATCATCCTGGGCTTGCGGCAGCGTGCTTCGAGTCTTCTGCCGGACTTTCTGAATCTGGCCCTGCTTTGAGGTTTGCAGCATTGGCATAACCAGGGCATAGCTGCATAACGGAATGAGTTCGCATGCGTCTCCTGGTAATACTCATCTGGCTCGGGACCTCATTTGCGCACTCAGGCGTAGCGGCTTAGCCTGGCTGAAGTGTTGGCATGCCTACACGGTGGTTAGTTAAGCATCTTCAGGAAGCCTGAAGTGCGAAGATGTGCGAAGTAGGCTTCGGGCCTTGCAGCTTTGGGCAGTATTGCCCAATCGGAGAAGGATTCGTGATTGTAGCAATGCGAATGTAATCCGCCTTGGCAGGGCACTTCTCAGTCGCAAACCTGTGCGTTCACATGACCGCATGTTGCACTGATTCTGACCTGAAAATCAACCTCCTTTTCAGCTTCAGATTCCTGATACCAAAACGTACTCCTCAGGCCCCAGCGCGATCCACCAAATCCTGCTCACCAGTCTACAATGCAGTGCACTGGGCTTGCAGGCAATGATATTGAAGAACAAGAGCTACAAGAACATACATGAGCAATGAAATCAATGAACAGTTGTCTCGAACATTTCGTTCCAAGCGTCTGCTGTCGGATGCTGACTACTCAAAACTTCTTGCTAACATCAGCCATCTGATTCGGAGGATCTGGAATCTCACTTTACTAGCTTGAACATGAACTTCAGAAACGCTGAACTCCATGAGATGTTTGGCCATTGGAGACCGTGCTGAACTTGGTCCTTCGTCTTGTACCGCGCCCAGACGGCCCGCTCCGTCTGATGGTTGTTTCTCAGCAACGAGCTGGCTGCAACAAACTGGTCAGATGCTGTTATAAAGAAGGATGCCGCTACCGTTCGTTTAAGTCAACATGTGCAAATCTGAGGTGGGAGCTCTCGCATTGTCTTTCTCATCTCCTCCCTAAGAGCTTCCTTGGTTCAGCTAAGCTTCACGAAAGGGATCTGAAGCCGCGCTCAATTCAGACATATTCGGACGGTAGGCACCGAGCATTGTCACGCCTGAGTAAAGCAAGTTGCTGCCGGACCTCTTGGAGGTTGGCCTGACACTGACTGATGCACAGAACCCATGACCATCTATACCGTGAGGTGTGTTCATGTCTGACGGTTGCAATTCGCAGGCTTCACTAGTTGTGTGGCCCACATTGTTTTTCTTCTGTACTCTTATGTGAGGCCGTATGCTTCGCCTCTTGACTTAACTGAGAAAGCCGAGCGCAAGAAGTCAGATCTCGCATCCGTCCGCTTTCAGGCTCATGCACCATGCACTGCCCTCATCAGCATTCTGGCCTCGTGCTCTCCAGTAGAAGGGTAACTCGGGGCAAAGTAGCCCGCTGCCATCGAGAAGGCCGGATATCTCTGGTCCAGCTTGCAGTGCGTGCACAGACTTGCAATCCTAACGTCCTACTTGGCATATCGCTGGGCATGGGCAATGATTTTCTGGTACCATGTAGTTTGACCACCCCAACTAAGCACAACAAAGTGCCCTCCGCGGCTGATACGCTCCCGTCTGTCTCAAGCTGCTAAGAACATGCATTGCTACAACTTTGCCTCGGCCTGACTAGAGGCCTCCACCTTTTTTTTCGGATCACTGCAGCAGACCAGCTGCAGAAAATTGGCGAACACCTGTTCTTTGTGCAGGCCTCGCCTTGGTTAAAGACTTCAAGCTCAAGCAAGCTTGCTCTCTGCAAGCATGACCGCGGTCAAAGCTTGTCACCGCCATCAAGAGCTAAGTCTGACGCAGTCAGGTGAGACAGCATAAAGATCATAAAGTACATGTGTGAAATCATTTGACACTGAACTCGCTCGTGTGGTCAGATTTGACGTACCTGCGTACGCACCCAGAGAGTTGATCCAAGCAGCAGGTTCACAGGGGCACTCCATCATCAGTTGCATCACCTCATTCTCTTGCAAAAGCTCCTCTGGAACCGGGACCTGCAAAAAACTGAGGGACCCAGAACATCCTTGGTATGTTCACATTCTGTGGTTTGACCGTCTGCAGCTGCGGAGCTGCGGAGCGGCTCCAGCTTCGGTTTAGCGTACTGGGGTTTGGGGGTGACAAAGGCTTTGCCTCTTACCCTCGTAGAAATTACATGTGGCCGAGAGGTGCTGACAAATGTAGTGAAATGCGAACCCGACATGCTCTGGACGTCTGGACTGCTGGCCTACAATATGTTTGATTTACGATCAAGCTTGTCTACAACAAGCCCACGCGTGTCTACAACAAGCCCACATTAGGCACAGAATATCCCAACCCCCCAACCCCCCGCGCCTGTTTGGTAAACCACTTGAACAGATCAGGGTTCTCAAGTTCCAGGACCTGCAGAGCACAACTTGAAGCACACAGCTGCAGAGCTGTCGGATGTTGACGGACAGACACGTGCTCGAAGTTTACGCATGATAAGCGGTCCTTGTTAGGCGTTGTAATCGCAAGTTCCGGACCTCTTCCAACAAATCCAGCTTCTGCTCGTCAAACTCAGCGACGTGCCTGACATCTGTACAAGACTTGTAAAAGGAGGTACAAAAGGAGATCTTCGTAAAGAACTCATGCAGAGTCTGGCCAACGAATGTTACACATGTAATCGTCACGACGTGAAGCACAAGACGAGCCGGCACGGCTTCTCTACAAAAGTTCCCATCAGCACATCCAGCTCAAGCCAGCCGCGGCTCTTGGCACGCCATGTCAGCCTCAAATTGCACCAGGGTTGAACGCCAGCGTGTGGAAACCGACTGTGATCCATAGCCTTTCCTGACCTCTGACCTGTAGCATACACTCAGCAAGCACAACTTGGCAAGAGTGCCTCTTCCTTCGCTTGAGCAGTTCCAAATCATCCTTGGGCGTTCCACTGCTCCATGCCGTTCACGGTGCCCGCAGCTGACTCAGTGGCAGGCTGCGGCAGCTGCCTTACAAAGACAAGACGTATCCCTGTGTGCTTGGGGACTAGCAGCCGCGAAGGGCCGCTATTTGAAATGTAAAACTGATGTAAAAGACAAGCTATGCACATACTGCACAAACTTTGCCTAGCGAGGGAACGAGGACATGCACTCACAATCACTCGCGAACAGATCGAACAGCCAGGCATGAAAGTGGAATGGCGAGCCCGGTTTGGAGGAAGCAACAACTTAGCTTTTGACATTGAAGCCCCGTGTAGGAGCCAAATGGAAAGCCTGAAGGATGCCACGGAAGCTTGGTCAGCTTTTCTCGGCATTCGCACAGGTAACACCAGGTAACTACTTGTGCCTGCCAGCGCGCAGCCAACGTTGGGCGAATCGGCATGCTGCAGCCTCTGAAAGGATCATTTGGCGAACGTGCGTCTTCTTTTTCGATTCAGTCACAGCCTTGCAAAGAGCGCCGCCTAAGCACGCCTGAAGCGAGGCCTGCAGTGCAAACACGAATGTGTACAAAATGTGTTAGGACTGTCGCCACTTCAGTTTGATCCTCCTTCCCATGTTCGCTGAGCAGCAGACGGCACAGCTGCATGGCTGGCATCATCCTAAGATGCAGAGTACATCATGCTCATACGGCTCAGAGCTCAACAAATGCGAAGGCCGAGTTCGCAGATTATTCAGAAGTTGGTTGATGCGTGGACACTGGGATATGCTTGGAGTCCGGTGTGGGATGATTGTGCAAAAGCCCATGTACCTCAAAAATAAGACAACTCTCACGTGCTGTATTACTCCGCATCTTGTCGTGTATAACCGGGTCTGGAACAAAGCTTTCTAATGAATCTTGGTTATCTTTACATCACAGGAACCGGACCCGATCGAAAAATCCAGCGTTGCTTTCCAGCAACCTTTCATGATGTGTCCATCCTGAAGTGAAACCAAGCAGACGTACCCTGGACCCCCTGGGCCAATCCTGCCAGCTCAAACCAGCGCGAACTTGACCCCAACCCTGGCCCCATGCAGGGTCATTGAGCCTAACAAGTGCCTTGAAAGCGAAAGGAAATCATGTGCAACATGTGCAACACCTCTCCGAGCTGAGCATGCTTAGAAGCTCCAAGTGATTAGTCAGCTGCTCAGCTGATAACTAAGCTCGCCGCGTTTTCACAGGGCCCTAGCCCAGAACAGCTGACCCCAAGTAAGTCCAGCCACAGCTGCAGCAATCATCGAAGTCGAATTGCGCGCTAGGACTTTCCACCTATTCCCAAGATGTACTCTGCCAGCGGTGAGCAAGCCATTTTTTGGTGACTCTGGCTTGGCCATGTCTTGAAATCCTGCAGCTGACATTCGGCAGCTGAGACCTTAGTGTGAAGTCTGGGGTCACGCCCTTGCATAGGGGTTGCTGCGTCCAAAATATTGAATCATCATGCATCCCTGCATGGCTTGTGGAGAAGCGTACACCATGCGTTAAAGGACAAGCTTCAAAGCTCCTTTGCCTAAGTGTCTCTGTTTGGAATTGCTAGGCTCAAAGTGGGAAACTGCAGCCAATGCATATCAAATGAGGCCCCGGCAATTTCTGAAAATCGGATGGCAGGTGACACTTCAAAAAGTATGCTCATTACTCTGCACTTGCCCAGAATGTGGGACTGCTATCGTGGCATGAGTTGTGATGCTGAAGCTGCAGAGGTCGTTTTACCACTTGTTGAACTTTGCTGTCTGTCAGACATTCCCACGGCTCAAACTTGCTGGCCACGCTCACTGCCCTCATTTTAAAGTTGCCAGCCCAGCGCTTGCAGGAGATAAGCCTCTGCAAGTGCACAACGGGCTGGTGCTCAAGAGTTGGTCTGCCCAATGTGTTCTGCCTGCGCGCGCATCTGGCGGTGCCTTGCACGAGCGCTCAAAGAAAGGCTCCCAAGGATGTAAGTCTGTCGCGCATGCAGCCATTGCTTACTTCGTTGACCCAGAGGCATTGAAGTGCATGGTGGAAAACGAGACTTCAGCGTTTCACACTTTTCAAACTTGCTGTCAGAAGTTTTTAAGGGCCAAAAGTTGCCAGCCCCAATGCAAGCTCATAGGACCACAGCTGGTTCATAAATTTCTGAGCCCTGCACGGACCCCACCACCCAGTGTAGACTTAACCGGCCAAGAGTGATAATGCTGCGGTACTGCATGAAATCTTGGTAATAGCAGGAAACTCTTTACGCAACGCGCCTCGTCAGCAACTTGGCCCGGCAACATGGCGAGCGGGTCCTCCTTCCAAATCTTGCTTCGTGGTACTATTGGCTGCCTATAGATGGGAGGCGGTGCCCTGATAACGGCTTTAGGATACGAAAATAGTACAAAAGAGAGGGATGCTGATCCTTGGACCGTACTGGTCTTCTGGCCACATGTGAGGCCAACAAGGTCTTTACTCAACTTTACTCGGTCTCACATGCCAGCACCTCGGCGCGCCCGAGGTGTGACCGACTGGAGCTGGAGATAGTCACCTGCACCTGTGCCAGAGTCCGTTGCTATCAGCTCTGCCTGGTGGGGCACGGCATGTCAGAATGTCTTCGAAACAGCTTTATCAGACTCCGCTGAATGACATCACAATTACACTATGACACTTTCTCCCAAGCCGACACGGTACCCACGCACACACGACGTATCAGCCTGATCTTTTTGAAAAGATTTCCTTGAACCTGTCGGACCTGGCAGCCGAGATAGCATTCGTCGGCGGGTCTGCTGAGACTCTACAGTTATCCTGCAGCCTTTGCTCGGCAATGCGTTGGCACACGATCCAGCCTTCTTTGATCTCCAGGCTGCAGGAAGACCCCCTACCAAAGTTCAGTCAGCACCGCATGTAACCGCCATAGCCCCACAAGCAATCAGCGCCTTGATGAGCGCAGCGACTTTCTTCGTGTCGCTGCAGTCAGTACAGGATGTTTCTCAGTTCCAGCGCAAGTGCACTCGAGACCCACGGGAGTCAACGTGCTTGAAGGCAGGCCCACAAGCATGCTGAGGACTCAGCCTTCCAATGACGAGAATGGTCTCTAAGGTAGTCTAATGGCACCTGCAATGCACTTTTGGATCACGCGATGACAGCTGACCTTTTTGATAGATAACAGAATTCTGGGGCATCTTAAGGCTGTGGCGGCTAAAACATGCCCATTGGATGTGCCATACGCCAACTGGCAGGACTTTGCAATCTGAAGTCACGCTCCAATGCCACACATGCTCCAGCTTCGCAAAGCCTCTCCCAGGGTATGAAGCGTGTCATACAATGGAATTGCAAGCCTTGGGAGGCAATGGACCGCACTTTTGGTGGCACCTTCACAGCAACGACAAGAACCCAGTAGGTGCGTCGCACTTCTGCTAAACCACGCAGCCACTGCGGGGCATGTATGCCAACCTTCCAACACTCAAGCAACCACATGCCATGCTAATGCACCTACCTTTGTCGTCAAAACCAGCAGATCGTCGGCTCCCCCAAAAGAACGCACACCCTGCACTATCCCGGTGGCGCAGTGGAGGCAGGTAGTACTAGAACAACGACACTTGGCCACATCCGTCCTATTGTGAAACACAACACCCAAAGTGCGGGGGCCGTGGCTCGAAACTGCACTAGGTACGAACTCGGACGCTGGCAAGGCCTCGCGCTCATCCCGCGCAAGCTCTGCCCAAGCAAAGTGCCTGATCAAAGTCAATTTAAAACGGTAAGCAGGATGTTTGAAGCATGTCAAGGCAGACAACACAGCTTGAGCTAACAAGGAGGTCCCCACTGCTTCTGGGGCAATGCCAGGAATGCCAAATCCGCTGCAGCCAGAACCTGGCAGGATATGCTTGACTTGATCCTGCTTCAACGCCCTGAAACTCCACCTGAGCAGGGAAGCATCCATTTATGTCTTGCAAGCTATGAATTACATTGCAGAACTGCTCTTGAAGGCTGGTCCCACTTGCAGGGTATGCAAGGTGTACGAAAAACTGAGGATTCTACTAGCCCGGCCAATAGTAGACGTCTCTCCCTCGCCTGGGGCGCCAGGGTGATAGTGTGACAATGCATGCAGTGCACATGTCGCCCTGACGTTGAAAGGTGTACAAGTGCCATCAGTTCAAGGTGCATCACAGCAGAAACTGTAGGACTTTAGGATTTCCTCGAAATCTCTGAGGTCCAAACGGCCGCGACAGCTTCCTCGAGCTCCTACGTCTGGGTCAGTCAAATTTGAGCCCAGTGCTGCTTCTTTGCCAGAACGCCCCCCCAAACTTTAAGTACATGTCAACCTCATTTTTGAACCCTGCATTTAGAGCTGGAAGTCGCTTGCTGCAAATCCCGTTCAAAGGCAAACACATCCCTCCTCCGGCGTGAAGCCGTCCACCATTTCAAGGTTGAACGGCATGGGGCTCTCATCCGCCTCCAACCTGTTGTTTCGGCGACAGCAATCTGAATATCAGCAAGGAATCTTTTGGATCCGTTGGCTGGGAGGCTCTGATCAGACCAAAACTCACTGCCGTCGGTGTTCTGCCAAAGACAGACGGATTTAGGTTGATTAGCAGCGTCATGCCATGCACTTCATTACCGAAGGTCCAAAACTGTCCAAACACACACTCTTGCTTTGTGGTGCGCGCTTTGTGGAAGAGGCGCCCGAATCATGACCAAGACCATTAGGTCATTGCTTGTCTTACCGAATCGCTTGTTCCAGGTTTGCTTTTGTTCTGAAGCGTCTTGGGCATGGCAACTGGGAGAGCAAGGTTCTACAGTGCGCGGTTCAAACGTGCCGGCTTCACAGCATGCGAACCCGCTTCAAGTCCTGCAGGCCACGGCTTACAAGGGCGTCGTGGCCGCGCAATATGCTGCAGAGATTCCTCCAAGGCACAGGGTGGACGCGCTCGATACTGCAGCCTTCGAACCAGCCTGGTTCACATTGCCCTCACGTTGACACGCTCTAACTCTAACTTTGACCGCAAGGCTTCTTGATGATCTGCACTAGGCTTCAGCCGGCCAAGGCCCATGCTTCCATAAAGCATTGGGGTCGTCTGCAGTGCTGCCACGTGATGAGGGACGCCCGGAAGTTGTTCCGATGCCTTTGAGACTGAAACTCACCAACAGATTGGAATCCCACGCAAGGCAACGCAAGGCAATGTAAGGCACTTGCTTGCCAGACCAGCTCGTGACAATGCCAGCATTGTTGAGGCACTGCTTGCCACGTGCGCCAGCCTAGCAAAAACTCGCTCGCGTGGCATTGCCCAAAGTGTGCTCAGCGGTCGTTTGCTGCGGCCAACCGGCGCTTGGTTTTCAACACCCTCCGTCGGATCTACGCTACCCCCAACCCCGTAACCACCCATGCCCTCCTGAGCAAACCCTGAGCGAGGCGGGCCCGTCTAGAGGTTTCTCAAAGATCACTCAGAGCTGGGCAGCGGGTCTCCACCAGCAAGTGCGCCGAAGGCGTCTCGCTTGAACCCCATCGCCTTGACCTGTCATGGAAAAGGCAAAAGGAGCTTTCGAGCACATCATGACAGCAACCAAAGACGGGACAGCTCAAACAAGCATAGGTTGACCGCACCAACTGGAGCCTACTGCAGGACATATTGGAGACTTCTCTCTGCACCACACAGAAGCTGATACAGAAACCAAAGCTTGAAGCTGGAGTCGCCAGTGTCATTTGGCCGAGCAGCACAGTGAAGGCCAGCTGCAGCCGTCAGGAGAGCCACCTTCACTCGAGGAAGGCTGGCCCCCTTGGCCCCTTGACTGTAAAGTCCCAGCTAGGCCAGCTAAGCTAGGTACTCGCTCCCAGGGCCCCAGGTGTGACCAGAGTCCGGTTTGACGCGCAAGCCAGTTTGCAGCACCTGGTGCTATCTTGTTCGGACATCTTGCCTTGAAATGAGACGAGACATGCAAGAGCAGAACCACGTACAAGGAAGGAACGCAACGCGAGCGCTGCTCGGGCTTCGCCACCGGATGGGGAAGTCCTGGCAACACCAGACGGTGCCCAGGGATCTCCAAAGAGCGCAGCCGGGCACACGTGCAGAGGAAAAGTGCAAGCGCTTTCTTTTGCGCGAAACAGCTCAGTACATCATGAAGCTATTTGAGAGCGATTTAAATGAAATTTGGATTGCCACCAGTTCAACCAATGGCTTGGATGCCAGTATGGCTGTGCTTCGCGTCCGCACTCCAAAGTGGATAGCTTCTAGATGCCCTTGCAAACAAAGTATATACAATAAAGAATGTCAAGACTCAGAGAGACTCCGCGATTCCACAACGCACGCTTCGCTTGACACACGCATCCGAAACTGGATGCTGTCACTCAGCCTCGCTTTGCATCGCTGCGCCGCGCACTGTGTGTTTTACACAGGGCGGGAACACGCATGTTATCTCTGACCTGGGCCAGCAAAACGATCCAGGTGTAAGCTTGCACAGCTGGATGTGATTGAAGCCGGGGGGTCATGCAAAAACAAAGCAAAATCCGCCGACCCCGCTCTGCGGGTCGAGCGCCGGGGAAGCCCTCTGTTCCATTTCTTGGGACCTTCAGGGAGTCTGGGGAGTTGTTGTGCAAGAAACGGGTTTTGGTGTTGCCACAACATTCGTCCAAAGTTAGGACGTAGTCTTATTTGCGACAA